CTCGAAGTGGTACAGCATAATATGACGCAAGTGAATATGGTTATCAACACGCATTTTTAACCTGCAAATAATGGAGGATAAAATTATAAAACAAGATTCAGACAAAACGCCAACTTGGCGTTAAAATAGTAGCGCCAAAAAAAGTGCAATAATTATGCATCAACCCAATACTTCCCAGTTTGTACACCAAATGAAATCAACATCTGTTAAACGGAACCGACATATCCCCACTTAGAGGAAATTGTTTCCTTATCTCAACATCATCGTTCTCATTCCTTGTATGAACATGCATGTCATTACATGTATCATAGTTTACTATTTTATGCAAAGAATACAGTCCATGTTACTTACAAAAGTAACACTAATGGTGGTGTACATCATCGGCTCTAACTCGAGGCTTGAACATCTATCAAATTTGAACCTAAGAACGTCGCCAGTTGAGATCTCTACTAAAGCTGGTGCTGTCACGAAACCTTAATGACCCAATGACCAGAACAGATCATATCCCCAACTTTGCAGACTGGTTTCCAGGTTTTTACAGTTTCCTGTTTCAATAGTTAAAAGCTGGAAGTTTGCAAAACAAAAAAAATCAGACATTCTCCGAGCCTCACATTCGCAGACAACGTTCTCTGAACTTCGGCATCACTGTCACGGAATTCCCATACCAGAGGCTGTGGGGAGCCAGAGCGTCGCTAGATGGCAGCATGCACGGCAACCCCACCCAATGTGTCTAGGCTTACCTTGCAGAGTTCCATGTTTATCCTGAGTTGGTGATACTCTTGATTCGTATTCTTTTTTATCTCTTTTCCTGATTTCGGTCCCTTTTCGTTGTCGTCCCTTCATAGTTCCTGTAGGCGACACGAAATGTCCATTAACACCTTTGAAATTGAATGGATATTGCGAGAACATGACCATAGGTATCCGAATTCATCGCTTTATTATCGCGGGAACTGAAACTCACTATCCCCAACGTGACCGATGAAACGGCGTCATCATCCCGAAGTCTGTTTCCGACTCGCACCAAACGGTTACGATAGAAACCGGTCCCTCGCGAGAACCCGTATTCCTCTTCCACCGCCATGCGCCCCAAGGAATGACATCTGGAACCAGGAATGACGTCCGGAACCAGGAATGACGTCCGGATTCCACCGATTCCAATCGATCAGGTTGACCGGATGTCACAAGACTTCCTAAGTGCGTTGGTTTTAAAAAAATTCCTGCAATTTTCTTCGCTTTCCAGTCAGTACGCCAATGGGCAAACGATGAGCTCGGCCTTCACTCTTTGTTGCCGCAACTTCACTGGAAGCTGGTAACTAACCATATACGATATCAATAAAGCATTTTTTAAGCGTGGAAATCGTATCGCAAGTACAAAAATATAATTGCTTTCAGAGGAAATAGGGATACACTCCCCGAGCGAGATCATCGGTAGACATGCCATGCCGTCGCGGCGAAAAGGCGAATCTGAGAAAATTTCCCCTATTCAGTCGGTCTCCGACCGAGGGAACATCCCATTCGACATGCAGCAATCGATTCGGCATCCTATTCGACGGCCGACTCAGTTCAGCGTCCGATTCGTCGCTCCGCCCCGATCGTGGATTAACAAGGCGGGAACAAATATATATAAAAAAGAGTTTTGAAATGTGGAGTTTCGCCCTCTCAACTGTGCAATCCAGCCTCGGCTGTCTTCGTGACTAATGACTGGCTCTTCGCTCGTTCTGCGACCATATGGGAACGTGCATATAAGATATTTAAGATAAAAAAAAATTTTTTAAATATGAATATGAGTTTGGAGTTCTGAAAGCATCGAAGTGGTGCTTCACATTCCTGTCCGAGGAAAAATGAGAAAATAAATGATTTAAAAAATGGGGAAATACCAAGAGCACCAGATTGGGTCTCCGAATCGGCGAAATCCGTTGAAATTGCAAGAAAATAACGATCCAAATCACCTCGTGCATAAATCGAAATCTCGCGTCAAGCGAGTAACGTTAAACCGAAAATGCGTTTCCTTCGCACGAAACACCAAAGTTCCGTGGAATTTTCTCGGTCCCGATCGATTCTGCGATCGAGATTTCTTCAAGTCGAGCGGAAACTTTCGTCCTTGGTGAAGACGATTGCGTTTTTTTTTATTATTTGATTTTATCCATTTATTTATTTCTTTATTTTTCTTTGTTTTCAGCACACTCCCCTATAAGTTGATCTTTTTGGCCAACCTATTCGGGTATTCCTTAAACTTTTTTTTTGTCGCCAACATGATCCGCCACTAGAGGGACGAGAGACCGCTCTACATTCCAAATAACATCAATGATTTAATAATTGTAATATAATTACAATTCCCTTCCTGACTATTCGAAATGGAAACGAAGCATCTATTTGAAATAACGTCATAATCCGCTTTGCAAATCCCATTCCTGGACTATCCACTCGACGAACTCCGATGAATGCACGCAACCTCCATTTCCCAAAAGGGTGACTCAGACTCTGGGGGAACTAACGCATTATAGCCTATTAACGCTTCTCGATCCACTTCGCTATTCAATTCCATATTCCCAACCGCAACTTCGGCATTTAATATTTCCCTGAGTCATATATTGCTATCGAAACATTATAATTCCACGCTTTCCTCATATCTGTTCATAAATTGCATAATAAAATGAGGAAAGGGAGGAAACACTTTTGCTAAATCAGGAAGGCCGATACATAATTGCATCCAAAGGGCGCAGGGAACACGGATACCACCTAGTGGGGACTCTCGGTACTACATGAGGATCTCTCCGTGTCACACGCTCTGGGTCGGAGCACCAGCCAAAAGAGAGCCAGCCGCCCTCCGCCTTCACAGGGCAGGGGGCCGTCCGCTGTTCCGCTCGCCGCCAGGGGATCGACGGGTTCAGCGGGTATATCCTCGAGGAGATCCGCTGGCCGATCCGCGGTATTTCGGCCGCCGCGTTACCGCCTCTGCCGGAAATTCGACCACTACCTTTGTGCTACTTGGGTGCATTATGGGAGAGAACGTATGAAAATGGGCATGAAATAATCAGGTTAAATAAAACATTCATACCGTCACCCGATACCAATATTTTTCTAATGATACTTGTATCTGTAAATAGGTAAATAGGTAAATAGGTCACCACGGCTGCATCTGTTGGAAGCGTCTAGTTGAACCCGAATCGTCGAGTCCATTTGCGAAATCGACTTCGTAAAATCTATAATTTGATCATAATAATGATAAATAAGACATCTGCAAGTCGTTTGGACTCGACGAACGTGCAAAGCTCTGAGTCCCCCGCGGAATCCCCACCCGACCGGGAAACCTCACCGCCGCCAAGGAATTCCGAGAGCTAAAGGCCCTTGACAGACAATAAGGCCTCGGCCTCGAGCCTCGCCTCGCAGGCGGAAAGCTCCGTGCGGAGTCGCCGAGTTCGTCGGGGGAGCAGAAACCGCTTCGCGGTCGGCATCCCGAGATCGTCGACGCAGCCGTAGCAGGTCGAAGAAGGAACTGCCGAAGGCAGAGACCGAGGGCACCGTCCTGCCGGTTCGGGACCGTCAAATATGTCCACCGGTCCCTCTGCTCCCACGGATGCCAGGATTCAAGCCCAACATTCACGATCGAAGAAAACCTTGAGACTTTCTTTCACTGCGGCCTGTCGAGAGGCCCGATCTCGACGACGCGACACCGAAACGAGTCCGCGATCATCGGCCATCGACTGCAACAGGACCACGGACCGAGTCCAGAAGCCGGAATGGGACTCTCCATTCCCGACTTATACCGCGAAAGACATGATAAAAACGAATAACTCTAATTACGACTGTTTTCGACCCCAGCCCAATCGGGTTTCCAACCGAGTTGACACCTTCCGATTTAAGAAAATGCAGACACACGGACAAACATTGCAAGTACACCTGCGTAGGCCTACACCACATCCACATTTTAAGCCAAGGCGCCAATCGATATTTTAAGAATGAGGCTTATTGCTTTTCACTGACTCGAAAGAGCGGTTTTAGCTGCTACCAAATTTCATAAATTGAAAAAAAAAATCTTAAGTTGTAATGCGGGCAAAACAGAGTCAATATTACATGTTGGCGGTATGAACATCGCATCTAAACAATCTCGTCGTGGCCAATCACCGGCCTCGAGGGATGACGTCATTCGATGACGTCACCCCCCCCCCCCCCCCCCCCACCCCGGCTCGGATGCTGACGCCGTCGGAGCCGGAATTTCCGGAAGGAAAATGCGGACATCCAGGGGACGCCGGTTGCCTGAGAAATGTCCATCGACGATTCTGTTGAATGTTGCTAACAATCGCAATTATTAGCATGCCATTTTCACTCTTCTCTTGTGCAAATTTTTTTCCCTATGGAAATCGTACAGTAACGTAGAAGTTATAGCAAGTCACTGACTATTTTCGTCACCCAAATCCCTAAGACTCAAATGATAAAAGTTTCTCGTACAAAGTTGAAATTTCGGCTAAGGTTTTCTCATCAACGTCTTCAGGGGAGCAGAAACGACAAGAAAATCCAAGGTGATAGAGCCTTTCAGATTGGGTGGAGACTGCACGAATTTCTGCGAAAAGAACCACGTGATTCCGGCGTAGTTGGGATGACGTCATCCGTCAATATGGGATCAGCCAGGCCCTAGGCCCCGCCGCTCTTTGTCGTCGCCGTTTTGCGGCTTTTTCGTGCTGATAAGTAGCGGAGTCGGGTGAGTTCGGGAGCGGAAATTTGACGTTTCTGGAGGGATTCTCGTGGGGAAGATGGGTGTCGACGACTATACCGATTTCTCGGGGGATGCGGAGCTCGGTGGCGAATTTGCCTTCAACGAGAAGACCATTCGGCTGGGATTCATCAGGTGAGAAGTGGGATGCCTTACATTGGACGTTAGGCCTAGGCCTAATATGGAAATGCTGGAGCGAGTAGGTGTGTTTCATGCTGATTTGCACACGATTGAGCAGGTTTTCCCCGTTGCGTTTAAACATTAGGAAGTTGACATGGGTGAGACAAATGTTGAATCTTGGGTTTCGTTTTTGGTAGATAGCACAGTTTCAGATACGATTTAACACATCAGAATCGACTCCTCGTCTTGGAGTTAGAGTGACTGGACACTCCACCGGCTCGAATGACAGTCTCTTAACTGCACCGATATACTAATGAAGAATCCCTGCTCGGGTTTAAAGAGCAGAAAAATTGAAAGAAATTGAAAATCATTTCCCTGGTATTTTTTTGTGATTCGCCTAAATATTGTATCAGAGCAACTGAATAATATCAATGTTAATGGGTTAATTAGAAACTGACTTCAACTAAGCTTTGCAAAATTTCAGTCACATTTGATTGTAGCCATGGTTGATGGCAAGGTTCATGGACATTGACCTACCGGTCGATGGCAGGATGTGGTACTGATAAGGTGCAGGCACAAAGACCTTCCCGACTGATCAGAGTGGAAACCAAAGTCATGAATCAACACTTTTATGGGATTAGATCTGCAGGAAGTGTGGTTAGATTGATGTCGAGTTCATATTGAAACTTGTAAAAAAAAATAGAAAAAGTCTCACCTTGAATTAGAGTCATCAAGAAATTTATCTTAACACTGTTCAAGTTACAGAGCAAAAAAATGCATAGTCCTTATGAGACTTTCACTTGGAAAGGTAGTAACTATGAGTTAGAGTTAAATTTGAGTTGAAGAGGTTTGAGTTATTGAGAGTTGACTGTATTGCAATCAAGGGTTGTGTGAGTCAGGCTCTTGTGAAAGTAGTTCATGCAGAGACATACGAGGGCTGTTCTGAAAGTTCTTAGTTATGTCATGTATAACGGTACAATTGAAAAATTCATATTATCAGGTGAAAGAACAATCCGTTTCCGAAGATAGCCAAAGTCTTATCATTGGTCTATTAAAGCGGCTGATGCGATTGAAATGTATCACTTGCGGCTTGCGAGGAATTCTGCTTCACCACGACAATGCACCAGCGCACAGTGCCGCTCGGATGTTGGACTTTTTACACCAATCTGGTGTCCAACTTTTTGAGCCATCTATCTTTCAGTCCAGATCTGGCCCCTTGTGACTTTTTTATTTCCTACAATAAAAAGCAAGATGCGGGGGAGGGCTTTTTTTTTTCCGTGCAGATGCAGTTGTTGCAGAATTCACGAGCCTGTTTGAGGACCTGCCAAAAGAAGCATTTTCAACTTGTTTTGACAAATGGTTTCAAAGAATGAATAAGTGTATTGGTGTTGGGGTACTTGTTGAGGATGTAGATTCCATGTACACTGTTTTTGGATTGAATTGGTACCCCCCTACTGTGGAGAACAGTGAAAACACAAGCTTTCCAGACAATCCTCAAGATGTCAAGCCTGATGCTCCACATGGTTGTTGGATGATTCTATTAATACTTCACCTTCCATCCACAAGGTGTCCTGCCTGTACTTGATGGAAGCGCTCCTAGGGGGGGGTACCAATTCAATCCGAAAACAGTGTAAGATTGGCCAGGAAAATGTGAGGTGGTGATGGGGGGGAGGCATGAAAGATTCAGTAGAGTAGAATGCAGTAGGGGGCAAGTTGTGTACATGATGTGATGAAGGTGTGTGGAATTATTCATTTGTGAACTTGCTATTTACTTGAAATGTTGGTTTACTTGGTATTTAGTTTTTTCAAAGTTGGAGTATAAGGCTTATGAGAGATTTTGTATTTCCATTTACATAGGAAGGTGTACAGCATCCTGATGCTGCAACTCCTGGTGACATTTGGCTTCATTGCACTATTCCTCTATAATCATGACATCAAATTGTATGCTCAGCATCATCCGGAAATGTGGTGGATCGCGTTTGGACTCATAATCGTCTGCATCATCTCTCTGGCCTGCTGCGGAGAGGTTCGTCGCAAGGCCCCGTGGAATTTCATCTTCCTTGGGGTCTTCACCCTCGCCGAGAGCTTCTTGCTGGGGGCGGCGGCAAGCACCTACGACTCGGAGGAGGTCTTCATCGCCGTCGGGATCTGCNCCTACGACTCGGAGGAGGTCTTCATCGCCGTCGGGATCTGCGCCGTCGTCTGCCTGTCCCTCACGCTCTTTGCGTTCCAGACCAAATTCGATTTTACGGGATGGGGTTCCGCTCTCTTCGTGGCTCTCATCGTCCTCCTCGTCTTTGGGATCGTCGCCATCTTCATTCCCGGCAAGGTCGTCGGACTCGTCTACGCGTCGTTGGGTGCCCTCATCTTCTCCATGTACCTCGTTTACGACACCCAGCTCATGATGGGCGGCTCGCACAAGTATTCCATCTCGCCCGAAGAATACGTCTTTGCCGCCCTCAACTTGTACTTGGATGTCGTGAATCTCTTCATATATATTCTGCATATTGTGGGGGCTGCAAGGAACTAAAATTATGCTTGAGATATTCTGCTTTGGGGATGATTCCAAAATTATAAGGGGGGTCAATTTTTCTGCATAATCCTACATGTGTTTTGCCTTCACTTTTAAATTTGAGGCATGTGTAATCCCTCTATTTTAAAGTTGATGCGTTCTGTGTTGTCATTAGTCTGGTCTATTGAGAAAGCGATCAGCCGTATCGATACGTTTCGGATTATTTTTTTTTTATATATTTATATTTGCGGGAAACGTCCCGGAGCTTGCAGATGAAGGCGAGGACTCGTCACCGATCGGCGGTTTTTCTCGGGATTCCGAATTATTTTATGCGATCTCGGGCCGACCGTTCGCGACACCTGCAACTGTGGGCCGACGGTCGGCCGACCGACCGTGACGGGTCGCCGAGAAGCGACTCTCGGCTGGCACCGTTTTCTGAGTCGGCAGTCGGCGGTGCATGCGACGCGGTGAGAACACGAGAGCGTGTTGGCGGTTGGGATTCGTCGAAGTGGTGGGGCGTGCTTTGCGTTCCTGCTTCGGGGTGGGCGCGTGGATGCGTGCAGACACGCATGGATCGCTGGATCGCACGCTGAAATCGTAAAGCGTGAAACGGACTTCGTGACGTGGAGACCGGATGGGATGGGAAAGTGCCCCCCGTGCACTTTGGGGGGGGGGGGGGGGTGGTGGGGGGGGGGGGGGGGCGGGGGGGGGGGGGGGGGGGGGGGGGGGGC